CATAGGTCCGCTTTGCACGCATGTCAAAAACTTAGATATGGATATAGTTTCTACGTGAGAAAAAAGCGGACATAGGACTGGTTTTTACAGGATTGAAAAAGATGGGGATGGGATAATGAAATCAACTTGGTATACTGACAGAAACATTTTAGTGATAGGTCGTCATACTCAGAAAGTTAATCGCATAGTGATTTCAGAACGAATTAATAGTACTAAAAGGAAGGCTTAATGTAGATTAGCTGAAAATTTGTTCGGTGTTTGGTTTACAAGAACAGGCATGAGATCGTGAAGCAAGCAAAACGAAACAGCATTACTAATGTCGCAGATCAGAGTCTACTTGCAAAAAAGTTGATCCTTTGCAGATTATTAGACTGGGATGGCTTTTACTTCTATGAGTTCTTTCTGGGAAGAGTATTTATTCAAAATTTGTATTGCTTCCAATCATATCTACAAAAAAAGTCGACAAAAAGCGTTCATTCTGAATTCTGAAATGACGTAATATTTCTCGAAAACAAAAATCCTGACTTTTAAATTTGCTTAAAAAACTAAAAGAAATTTTTTACATTACCCAGCGCAAACCCATACACTCAACACGTATGTGTACGGGATTAGTATTCACCCCTGATTAAGTAAAGAAGGAAATTATGTTGAAAAATAAATATTTCAGTACACTATTTACATTATTCAGACTATTGTCCTCATCTTTGTCGCCATATTTATTACAACGTTTCAGGCGTTGTACGTTCCGACCTTCTTCAGGTAAGGCTTCAAGAACATATGGCTGACCACATATGGATAGAAAGGGAAGATTAAACCTAAAGGACTCAGCCCATATGCTAGGCCACAAAAATCTCCTGAGCCGACCAAGCATAGAAATTAATTCAATATGGGAACCAGTGATAAGGAGTTCCAGAGAAAAGCGATAATAACAACAAAATTGCAATATAAAAAAAAAACATGCAATATCAGCAAAATATGGTAAAAAATGGTTGCTGAATACATTAGGTTTATTATACCCATAAATACATACAAGAAAAGAAAAGCTATCCGATATTTACTTATTTTTTTCTGCTATTTTTGCTTTGGTTTCTTTTATGAATTCATCATTTATTGCTTCATTTTTTATCTCTTGTAGTGTGACGGGGAGGTTTCGAACTGTACAACATAGTACTGCCCTGATATCTTCTTCATGTCGTAAGGCTGCGATTACAGAGTCTTCCAATGGCTCTGTTTTCGTTGGTATAAGTCTCGACAGACCGTCCACATGCCCGATTTTTTTCGTTGGTAGATACTCCAATCTGAAATTGTAATTCAGTAGAATTGTACCCCATCTTAGCAACCTATTGGCAGTGTAAACCGGTAGACCTTTCTTTGAACCAAATATTGTTAATAACGGTTTGTGATCCGTCTGTAGAGTACAAAATCTAACATAGATATATCTATGAAACCTTGTGACTGCGAAAATAATTCCCAGAGCTTCTTTCTCTATTTGTGACTAATTTTTCTCTGCAGGTAGTAGGGTTCTTGAAGCATGCGCGATGGGTTTTATTGTCCCATCCAGAATTTTATGCGGTATACATGCCCCGACTCCATAGGCGCTCGCGTCACTTGCTACTATTATTTCTAATTTTGGGACGTAGTGTGCCAAAAATAAATCCGAAATTAACGTCTTAATTATTTTGTCAAACGTTTTCTGGCATTCATCTGTCTACTCCCAAAATTTTTCTCTTTTCAGCAGTTCGCTCAGTGGTGCGCGAAGTTTATGCATGTAAGGAATGAATTCCTGGTAATAATTCTCTAAGAGTACAAAACTTTGTAATTCTGTTATGTTTTTTGGAACTGACATTTTTTTAATTGCCGTTGCCCTTTCAGGGTCTGGTCGTCTTATTTCTTGATCGATGATATGGCCCAGGTATTTTATTTCCTTCATAAAAAAATCGCACTTGTTTTCTTTTACCTTAAACCCATAGCTTTGTATTCTCCTGAACACCTCTTGTACGTGATTCCAGTGTTGTTCAATACTTTTGCTATTTATCAATACGTCATCCAGGTATGCAATCGTGTATAATCGGCGAGCATAGTATCCATTGTCTGTTGGAATATAGCCGGCGCGACCTTAATCCCAAATGGTAATCTTTGGTATCTGTATAATCCTTTGTGTGTGTTTATGCACAGTAATTTTGAACTTTTCTCATCGACTGGGATTTGTAGGTACACATCACTTAAATCTATTTTTGAAAAAAAATTTTCGCCGTTTAATTTTGTGAATACTTCTTCTGGACTGGGTAGAGGATAATGGTAATCTTTTATTGCTGCGTTCAAACCCGTTGAGAAATCAGCGCATACTCGAATCTCCCCTGATTTTTTTTTACGTAAACCGTGGGTGCGGCTCATTGACTGTATTCTACTTTTGTCAATATGCCGGTGTTTTCGAGTCTAGCCAATTCTTGATCTATTTTTCTATTGAAGCAAACGGTATGCTTCTTTTTTTCTTGAAGATAGGTTGAACGTTTTCTTTTATTTCTATATTTGCTGCCATTTTCTTACATCTTCCGAGACCTGCTGAAAATACTTCGGGGAAATTCTCTTTTAGTTTCTCTTTTAATTTATCTGCCTCGGTCGATAAACTTTTTACATTTTGGCAGTACGTACTTATTGGTAAATCCCAAAGTTCGAATTTTTGCATCCAGTCCGTACCGAATAAGTTTTTTGTATTTCTTAGCACATACATTTTCAATTTTTTGGTCATTCCATCGAATGTCACATTTGTAATCACTTCACCCTCAAATTTTATTTTTCTCCCAGTTACCTATCTAGCAATTTGATCGGTTCTTAACATGGTAGGTTTGTTCTGTTTTCTCCATGTTTGTACGTTAATAAAGTTAAGTCCGACCCGGAATCCAACTGTAGTCTGACTTTTCTGTTTTGCATTTCTACTTGCACGTATTTTCTTATGTTAGTCTCATCCGCTTGGTCAGTCCACGTGATTCTTATTCTGATTTTGCTTTCTCTTCTAGTCCAACAATGAGAACTTTTATGTCCTACTTTTTTGCATGATAGACAAGTTTTAAAACGGTAAGGACAGTCTTTATACCAATGTCAATCCCACAGCGATAGCATGGACTGGGTGGTAGTTTTTTTCTGATATTGGCTTTTTGAAGTAGAAAAATTTGTTTGACCTGTTTTTGAGGTGGAAAAATTGGTTTGGTTTGTTTGTGAGGAGGGAAAGTTGGTTTGTCTTCGTACTTTACGTATGTGCGCGATGCCAGCTTCTTCTATATCTTTTGAGTCTTTCTTTACACATGCATATGCATCTTCAGCCAGTTTTTGAAGTTTCAAATCTTGTTCACTCTCGAATTTTGTGAGGATTTAGCGTCTAATTTCCGCGTCTTTGGTTGAAACCAGTCCTTGGACGTATATTAAACATTTGAAATTGTCCGGGTTGAGTTCCGATAAGAAATCATCCAGGAAATGAAGAAAAGTTTCGCAGAAGGATTCAGACATTTCCATCTTTTTATTGGAAAGAAGAAGAAGTTAACTGTTTTAGGAAAAGAATGTTAAGAAGGATAAATTTAAGAAGATTTGGTATTTTCGCAAGTGCCTAAGAAGAAGAAGAAGCAGTCAAATTCATAGAAGTACCTTCGAAAAGAAGAAGAAGAAAATCTTCGATAGAAAAATAGCGTCTTGAAGAAGAAGATTTTTGCCCTTTATTTGAATTACAGGAATAATTCTTGTAATTCAAGATGTCGCTGTGTTGCTGTTCAAATTGGAAAAGAAATGGTTGACTTAGAATGGTTAACGAATTTTGAATTTTCCTTTTAGAGATATTCTGAACCTGTAGCCAAAAAATAATTCCTGGAAGAACTTGTGTCTTTGTTAGAAGTAAAGAAGGAAAAAAAGGAACAGAAGAAGAAACCACCTCTTAGAAGGAAAGGTCTAGAAGGGGTGGTAAAAGTTAGGGTCCCAAGGGCAAACAGTTAAGAAAACTGGGGTCAAAAGAAAGAAGAAAAAGGTTTTGTAAAAATTATTACCAGAATGAAATTTTGAAGAAAAAATTATTACCAGCAATTGACCAGAAAAAAAATATTACCAGCAATAAGATTCTTGTCGGCATTAAATAGCCCATTGAGGTTGATATGTCGTAAAATAAACCAAACCAAAAACAAACAAAGCAAATAGAACGAGAAACAAATTAATCCCCCAAAAATATATTTCCATTGAGATTTATTTCTATTTGGTCTTCACCTTGACTATTATATGTTGCTTTTATCAAACCCTGTTACTATATCCTACTAATTTGTCTGTGATGTATTTGTCTAGTAGATTCTCTTTTCAGACCCGGCACCAAGATGGGTACATTTGGGCTTCATATATTTGTACGGTAACGTCTTTTTGTTAGGATACTAAAGAAGGAAAACTACTAAGAATAATAATAAGAAGAAGAAGAAGAAGAAGAAGGAAAAGAAGAAGGAGCAGAAGAAGGAAAAGAAGAAGAAGAAGGAAAAGAAGAAGGAAAAGAAGAAGAAGAAGAAGGAAAAGAAGAAGGAAAAGAAGGAGAAGAAGAAGGAAAAGAAGAAGGAAATGAAGAAGAAGAAGAAGAAGGAGAAGAAGGAAAAGAAGAAGGAAAAGAAGGAGAAGAAGAAGAAGATTAAGAACGAATACGAATAAAACAAATGTTTTTTTTTTTCAATAAATTAACGTAAAATTTCTTGCGTCTAATTATCGGCAACCCGTGCCATTTTGTGCAGTCTAAAATCACTACGCGATCGACTAGAAAAACAGCATTTACCAAATCTGGGAGAATCATAAGTGAAAACGTCTTTTTCAAATGGGCCGCTTCTAAATCAAACAGTCATTTGAAGCCAATGAAAATGAGTGAGCTGTTGACATTGTTGACTTTAGATTTATTCGGCTCAAATGCCTAAATCTGCATATCTGACATTAAGCAAATAGACGGCCTCCGTGACGGTTAGCTGCCGGTGCCGCTTCTCATTCGAAAGATGCCTATTGGCAACCCTAATCTTCGTGTCTGCCTGTATTAACCCCTTCAATGACAATTTATTTTCTTCAGTTGCCATTTTACCTGATCCAATTTCTTTTAAATTACTTCTCCAAAAGAAAATAGAAAAAATCTTGATATGTCACTTTTGGAGACTTCTTTATCATCCATTCTTTCTTTCTTCCTTTACTTTGTCTTTTGTTGCTTCATGTTATTTCCTTGTCTTTTTAATATTGTTTTTCATTTCCACCCTCCACTTTTTATTTCCCCCTTTCTTTCTTTTTCTTTCTTTCTTTCTTTTTTTCTTTCTTTCTATCTTTCGCCTCAATCATGTTGTGTTTTATTTCTTGTACTTTTTTTGCATTAAATCAACCTTTCTTCTCTTCTCTCTTTCATCTTTTCTTTCCTTTTTTTTTTTCTTTTCGATAACTTTTTTTCATTTTATTTTCCTTGGCCTTTTCTCTTGTCTTTCTACCTTCTTGCTTTCTTTTTCCAACTCCACTCTTACTTCTTTCTTTCTTTCTTTCTTTCTTTCTTTCTTTCTTTCTTGTCCTGAATTTGCTTTCTTTATTGTATTTCATTGATATTTTTCTCGTTTTTCTTTCTTTTTTTTTCTCGCTCCATCTTTATTCTTTTCTCGTGTATATACAACGTTCTTCCTTTCATTACTCCTGCCTTGTTTCGTCCTTTTTTCTTTGCACTAGTTTTGCATTAAATCAATCTTTCTTTCTTTCTTTCTTTCTTTCTTTCTTTCTTTTATTCCGTTGTCTTTTTTTTTGTTTTTTTTCTTTCTTTCATTCACCCATTCTTTCATTTATTCCTTCTTTCTTTCCTTCTTTCTTTCTTAACTTTCACCTTTTTAAATATACCCTAATACATGGCCTTATTTGGTGTATGAGAGAGATACATATTCCTTGAGAGGTAGATGTTCAGACTCAGGTCAACAAACCAGAATTGTGAATGCTGATCTTCAAGACTCATTCTCATTACACGGTGGAGGATATTATGCAAGATTCTCCCTACCAATCTTAGCACCGTATGTCACAAGGCACAACATATGCGGCATTGCATTATTAAATATCTAATTATCGATTTGCAGCCGGTGTTCATAATTTCAAACTGCTATAAATGCAACAAAGTAATCAATGTATTAAGTTTGTGTCAATCCGGAGGCAAATGCACGTCTGTTAGATGCCAAACCTTTGGTATTAGACATCATTTTTTCGAATACCAATGTATTTCCATCATCTCGAATCTCTTCAAGGCAGAACCTGTTAGTTGGAAACTTGACGAATATATGCATTTTGTTATTTCTTTTTTGTGTAGAGAAGAAATTTTTTTATATTTTTATTCCTTTCCAATAGTCTGATATATATATATATATATATATATATATATATATATATATATATATATATATATATATTTATGCTGCTCTCCTCTGATATATATATATATATTCCATTTCGTTTGCACATAACGGTATTTGCAGGGTAAATAGCGTTCACTATTGATTAACTCGCCAAATGCTGCTCTCCTTCGAGGCCGACGAATAACAAGTGAGAATGATAACCAGAGGTTAATCCTTGCCACACTTACCCACGTTAGAATTCGTTATTCGTTCGAGTTGCATATTAGTCGACGGAAGAAATATCGCCAAAGTCGACTGGATGTTTAAAACTTATTAAAGACTTAATTCAAGTAAAACACGATTTAACTTAAGATTTTTCTTCGGCCCCACTTATTTTAATACACATAATATACATATACAAACATTCTTCATTTGCAATTCTTTCACATTCCTTTTTGAAGAATGCATTAGCTACTTCATAGAGTATTATTCAGAAAGTCGTAAGATGGAGATTGCAATATTAGTGTATGTTGTCTTTTTTTTTATAACAACCGCTTTCTGCAGAAGGATGATGAGAATACAATGACCTGAATATGTGAGCAACGACGAAAATTTAGGGAAAGTAGAAACAAAAAAGGACACTTATACTTAAAATCACAAACCGATAAAAAATGAAAAAAGAGGGCACAGAAAATTTGACACTCACAGAAATTATAGAGTGTTAATTTTCCAAAGCCATCTTTCCCACTTGCCTTGAAGAATTATTCAGACAGAGGAAAGCAGTGCATAACCTAACTCCCAGCTTATGTGAATGTTTGATAGAATAGAGTTTAGAGAGAGAGGGGGAGATAGGGGGAGAGTAGAGCAAAAAAAAACAAACAAACTGTATTCTGAGCTACAGAGGACAGGACGTTTTAGAGAGCCATGGCCGCCCATAACCTGGACGGAGACGACGTATAGAAGAAGAGGAATCGTTTCACCTTAGTTGAGGGAGACGACAGTGGCTAATTGAGTACCAATGTCCTATATCTATATTACCTGGCCAGGTAGAATAATAACTGCTAATAAGAAAAATAAGAATGATAAAAGAAAACCAATTTTGGCGAAGCAGCTGCCTAACACTTCAAGATTTGGCATCCAAAAGAGCATCGCAGTTCACAAAGTACCAAATGTAGGAAAGTTTATAATTAAATTCCAGATTTTTCTGTGAGTTCAAGAATAATAATTACACTCATCTGTATAGATATTATTAACTGGCTTATATTTCTCCTCGGAAGAATATGTAATCAATTCTAGCCTAATGACGGGGAATGCTTCCATTAAAAAAAAAAGAGCTAAAGTTAGAATCAAGAATACTTTGAAGGAATCCGAGCACGTTTTAGTCAAAAGACGCTGTATGCTGACGAATTTTTAATATATCTTTACTTTGTATTTTGTTTTGCAACCTAGGGAAGGTTACTGAATAGAATAATCAAACGAAGATTTATAAAAAAAAAAAAATAATACTTATAACAAGACCAACACATATAAGATTTGCCAGTGGAGATTAGAAGTAGTAGTAAACTGTTGGAGTTGAGTCAAGAGATTTCCTCAATGAATCCGCAACTGTAGTATATATACCAACCACCCCACTAAGTCAGATGTGGCACAAGGCCGAATTAAATTTGGTGTATCCGAGCCCGTATGCTCAGCCAAAAATTCCTCGTAGAACCCGTGTAAAACGAGGTCGGGTAACTGTTTCCCGAGACCAGATTCTGCCCTTCTCGTCTGGAGATTTTCTCTGCTCGGTGGCAGAGAGTTTGACCAGCACAGCTGGAGACGAATTTCCAACTGCAGACTAACATACAGTATTTACTACTGTATTTATGTGAATAGGGACATGCTACAACATTTTTTTAGAAAATCTCGACAGTCGTTAGAGTCAAAAGTGCTAAATCGGGACAAAGATGAAATTTCTGTCGACAAATGAACACGCATCACAGATAAAATGCGATGTTTAATTGAATATATCGTAACTAAGCAAGTTAGGACAGCAAAAAAGTACAGTATTTTCAAGCTTACAAGACACATTTTTTACTTAAAAATAGCCTGAAAAATATATAACAGGAACACCATACTATACGTGGTAGAAATATTCCTAACAAGAACGAATGGTAGATTTATAAATATGTAAGATTCTGGTGAGAAAAATTGTCAAGCACGATACAGTGAACCAACTTTCCTAGCAGCAGACCTAGCAATTGATTCAATAGAATTTTTCCGCATCACATTAGTCAGGGAAGGCGCAATGACTCACTCTCCTCTGGATTAGCACCAGCCATGATGATGGAAAGAAGAAAGCATTCTCTCAGACGATTAAAAGGGTGTAGTTTCGTTTTGGTGACCATAAAATTAACGATTGAATTTCCAGATGCCGGGTCGGTATCGATTACGTTATAGACCCTTCTTAGAATTTTGTCAAGAATCTTGAGATATCGTATTTTCCGGCTTACAAAACACCCCCGCAAAATACTCTGAAAAATACGTGTGCATCTTCCAAGACGAATATAAGCTTGGACGGTTACTTAATTCGCTTTGGTAGGGACGTGGATTTGTCTGTTGAGTCATTACACTATAATGTTAGCTATCTAATTCAGCCTTTTATATGTAACCTCAGCACTTAGCTGTTACAAGTATTTCCAAGACTATAAACCTTCCTGGAGCCGAGCCACAAGCTTAAATCTGCTCTTTTTACTCGCAACGGCAGTAGACTTTCTGCTCTTCACAAGTATGTTATTGCTATACAAGCAATATCGGACGAGTGATCAATGTAAACAATACGTGGCGCCAGTATGTGAGGGACGCATGGTGAATGTGTTCTTGTATGAGAATGACATTTTTTTCTTAGAAATTTCTTTCCAAGCCGCAGCGTCTTGTAAGTCGGAAAGTACGGTCCATCGTAGCTAAGAGCTTCAGTAGTCATTTTTACTTGGTGATCAAAGAAATTTATGCTCTGGTTTTATTGTAAAGGAATATCACAAGAATTTATTCGCTTTTTACATTCTTCCTTTATATGCCGCTCTCTTCAGAACGTGAATTATGCCACTCCACAGCTTCCTATACCTTGTTGCTTTTAGTAATTGTTGTTTTGCTAATTATTCTCAACGGTAACGGGAAATATTGCCACGGTATACATATATATGTGCGTGTGTGGAAGCAGTAATGGCACAGCATTAGTATATTGATAAATAGATAAGCATTAACCTTTTAATCCGACATTAGCTAAAAGGGCTTTTATTGCAATTTTCTACTTCTTATTTATGGGAATTGGGCGTCTCGAGCCTAAATAACATAAAAGTAAGAAACGCTCAACTAAAGAAGAAATGAGGGTCTGCATATGATAAATTCAACCAAACATTGAAGAAAACGCGACCCCCTCCAAAAAAAAAAAAACAACCAAAACACCAGGTATAGATTTCACATTAAATAAGCTGCAGAAATATTTAAATAGAAACATTGAAATAAGCAAAGTTCATATTTGCGTGTGCTCTTTTTTTATTTTTAAATGTATGGTTTTATTTCATGTATTTAAATGTAGACACTTTAAAAATTATGCTAAGTCTTCCGTGATATTTTCATTTGCTTCTAGGTGTGCCATTGCTTAAAAACATTGAGAAACACTGATTTCCTATCACTCCTATTTACAAAAGATCATTAGGCAGGCTACCCGCTGTTTCCCTTTGTACTTTTTCACTCCAATATATCCTGTGAGTCTCAAATTTTCCAAACCTTCTTTCCTCATGAACTACCCAACAAATTTCAACTGTTTCCAATTCTAAGTGCCCTTTTTGTATCCTCGTTGCTCACATGCTCTCTTCATAATATTCTCAGTATCCTTCTGCAGTACCACTTCTCTGTTGCGTCAAGCCCCTTCTTAATCTTTATCCAGAATTCACTGTCATATCTCAGGTTTGATATTACACCGCAATTCAGCAGTCTTTTCTTTTTTCTTTCTCGCGGAATTTTTTTTTCCTAATCCTTTGCCTAGCTTTTTCAAGGCATTTTTAGCTTTTCTAATGCGTCTTCAAATTTCGATGTCACATTTTCCGTCCTCTGTTGAAATGTCTCCCAGATATTTATAAGCTTCTGAAGTCTCCAATCCGTAGCTCGCATCCTGGGCCGATGCTCTTGCTTACAGCCATATATTATGTCTACTTACAATTGTTGATTAGTCCTTTCTTCTAGCTTTCCTTGTCTAGAAGTTCATTCAGTTTTCTTTGTGTGTCATAATCACGGAATTACCTTCGCATCCTAAGTTTTTTAAGATTGGGCTCACCCATAATAAATCGTAGTAAGACTTCTAGCTAAATTAGGACAGCCTCGATGTAAAGTTTGAATAAATCTGGTGAGAAAACAAATCCTTGACAATTTCTTTTTGGTGGTGTTTAAAGAATTCGTTTTGTTTCCTTGTACAGGCGAATTGATAATAACTAATAGATCAGAATTACAGTAATATCT